GTGGCTTTAAAAAGCATTCAGCACCTTGGATGTTGTGATTTTACTGCACTGAACCAGTTGAGGTAAATTATAGAAATCTGGTCATTGCAAAATTATTTTAAAAACTTCAAAATATATATATTTTTTTAAATCAGATTTTTATACAGCAATACCAATAAAAACCATTTCAAATAAGTGGTTTCAAGTGACCAATTCAACTTAAAGAGTGAAACGTAAGAGTCGGGGGACGGATACAAAAGGATTTCCAAAACTGAGCATTCCCAGTCCTGTTAAATCCACCAAGAAATGGAAGGAATATGGAACATGTGTAAATCTACCAAGAGCAGGCCATCCTCGAGCTTCTTCAGGAAGAAGAATGAGACCACCAGGACACCTGTGGCCACTATGATGGAGTTACAAGCTTCAACAGGCGAGATCCCAGAGGCCGAGCATACAGCAACTGTTGCCAGGGTTTGTCCAAGTTGAAGAACCTTTAGAGTAAAATTACATAAAAATACTTGGCAAACTAGATTTAATATGACAGGCAACAGTTCGGTGTCGACAGCCAAAACAACCTTTTTGAAGCGTCATGGCCGCACCTAAAATCTAACCAACAACCCGAGGGCAGCCTCTTGTTTTCTGCTTTCGTCTTTAATGGTCAAATTAGCTGCATTTCACGGGGGCGGTGCAGCTGGTTTAACTTCCTCCAAGCAGCGAGCAGAATGAAGGTGGGGGAATAAGGAAAGCCGATTGTGTCATTAATAGCTAGTGAAGATTTTCAGTTGTGCAGGACATGGCAAATAAAAAAAATAAAATAAAATAAAAAGTATAATAAATAAAATCCAGTTGTTTGTCTTGAAAGTTTTTGAATTTGTCAGCCACGTTTTCTTATTTCATGATACAACGACATGCCTTACTGCTACTACTCTGCTGCCACCTAGTGGCTGAAAATGGTACTGCCCCCCCGTCAGAATGAATGAAAACTGGAATTTCTCTGCCAAAAATTGGTTTAACTACGAGAAGAAAAAAATCCATAAATACGTTGCTTCAGCCTACAAGTCACAGGGCATGTAAATTATGCACAAAAACGCAACTTTTAGGCCAAAAAATACAGTACTTGCCTCGGCAGGGTGCACGCATCTTCTGCGATTTTTGTCGATGAGGGGGGAGACAGACGTCTGTGCGCCGTTTGTACAAACCGCTTTTGAGCGGGAGAGGGAGTGTAGACGGCTCAGCGCGAGTGGAGACCGCAAACCACCTCCATAGTCATAGCTTTTTAGCTAGCATTTCTGTACTGCACGTCGCTAGCTTAGTGCTACATCAATGCGGGCACTCGGGGGGCGGAGTTTGGTAGGCGGGGCACCCTGCTTGTGTAATAGTAGGGGAAACACTGCCCCTATGTTCTGTAGTGTGCTTTGTTTATGGTGGCGTAAGGTGCAACTTTCTTCTTGTGTGCCTTAAAACACTGCAAACAGTTTTAGGAGCGACTGAAAACTAGTTAGCTTTGCCAAGTTTCCATTTCTAGAGCATTAAAAAAAAAAAAAAAAAGAACGTTCCATGTTTATTGATTTGAATCTATGACAAGAGTATCAAATACAGCACCTTATCATCGACAAACTATTATACAGCAATATACAGGAATGGCCAAAACAAGCAAAGACCTTGTTTTAACTTTGACCTTGATTTGTGAACTTGACCTTAGAGCCAGGGTGATCAGATTATACGACACGCTGCTTAGTGGTGATACAAATGTGTATCAAGCTTTGCTAAATTATACCGAGCGGATCAAACGTTATGGATGGAGACGAGAATGTTCACGGACAGGCACAGAGTATACTGTGACACTTCCACCTTCAACGAGTGTTTGATTAAAAAAAATGTTAAAGTCCTCAAATTCCTCTGCTAAATGTAGAATTGAGCTAGGAACAAATGCATCTGGCCTTGCTGTGGGACAGTGAGCATCACAAAAGAGTCGAGGCAGAAAACCAAACATCAGATTTTGCAGTGCTCGTGTTTAAAGTAGCGTTTACAGACGAGCACATTTGCTACTTAAACATCCATGAGTGCATAAATCTTCAGCATGGCTGAGCAGAGCAGTCGGGGCGTGACCCGACATCCAATCCGACTGCTTTACATGAACATCCAGGCTCTGGGAACGGCTGCAGCATCACTACTCCAAGAATCAATAAAAAAGGTAGAAAAAAAGGTCACCGTTTAACAAGCAGTTTTATTTCTTAAAACAAGTTATGGAAATACAGAGGCATACATGTGGGGTTGTTAAATATTTGCTCCTACCACTTATTAAAATCACAGCAGTTAGTTTGAGCCACAGTTCGTAACCTGATCACGGATTCGTCACCAACTTTGGTCTGAATCCTTACAGCCAAACACATCAGCGCCAGACTGAGTGGTTTCCTGCCACATGTTGTGAACAGCACGGATGCCTATTTAACAAAGCCACAGTCCAAGATGAGAGGGAAAGAGCCAGGACTTGGAGACAGCTGAGGAAAACGCCTTTCTCTCAAGGAAGTGTTGCTGCGTGACAAATTTGTAACGTGACACGTTTGTTGTTTTGAGTTTTAGGATGATTCCAAATCGTTGCTGGGAGGGGAACAGAAAAATAAATAAAAAGGAACGTGAAGAACGTTCCACCCACTCCTCCATAAAAAATGCGAAATCCTCCGGGTCCGAGCCGCGGCACGTCAGACATGCGTAACAACAAGATGGCATGCCGTGACACAGGTGGGCTCTGCAGTTGTTCAGCAGCAGACGGGTTTGTAGCTCTTATTATCTGAAGAGGCAGCTCTGAACATTTAGTTCACACAGACGGTGAAATTAGTGATCGGACACTCCGTTCTACTGGAGACTTAAACTTCAGACATTAAATTAATCTTTAGACTTCTCCCTCTTCAGGAGTCTACACAGCAAGTCCTCTGAATCCTCACTCCAATTAGCTCCATGTCCTCTCTAACTGCATCCATACATCTCCTCCGTATTTTTCCTGGCAGCTGCATTTCTAACATCCTTCTACCAGTATACCCACTGTCCCTCCTCTGGACATGTCCAAACCATTTCAGACTGGCCTCTTCATCTCCAGCTGTTCAACCTGTGCTGTACCTCTGATGATCTCATTACTAATCTTATCCATCCTCGTCTCTCCTTAGGAGAACCTCAACATCTTCATTTCCGTCACTTCCACTTCTTTCTCCTGTCTTTTTGTCCATGTCTCTGTCTCCAGACTATTCAACATAGAGTGTCTCACCACTGTCTTGTAAACCTTTCCTTCGACCTTTGCTGCCACACTGATCACAAATCGCTCATGAAACTTTTCTATATCTGCCTGGACTCTCTTTTTCACCTCTTTACCACACTCCCCATTTTCCTGGACAGTGGACCCCAAGTCCTTGAAGTCCTGCAGCTTTGTGACCTCTGCTCCTTGTAGCCCCTCTGTTCCACCTCCTCCCTCTCATTCACACACATGTACCGTCTTACCATGACTGACTTTCATTCCTCTTCTTCCAAGTTCATACCTCCACCTCTCCAAGTTCTCTTCCACCTGTTCTGTCACCACAGATCACAATGTCATCTGCAAACATCAATCCATGGGGATTCCTGCCTGACCTCATCCGTTAGTCAAGCAAACGAGGGAATTATCTGGGTTACTGCAATCTAAAGAACAGTACAGCAATGTCCACGACAAGCAAAGACCATATAAACTTTGACCTTCATTTGTGACCTTGGAGATGGGGTGATGACATATTACACGACATGCTGTCTAGTGATTGTGTATTTGTTTTACAAGTTTTGTCAAATTCTCTTGAGCGGATCAGAAGCTGTGGTCGGGACAAGCAAAGACCTTGATTTGTGACCTTGATCTTGGAGCTGGGTGATAAATTGTACCCAACACTCTGTCTAGCGACGATTCATGCATGTAGGAAGTTTCATTAAATCATCGAGTGGAGCAGCAGGTTTGGCCTGGACAAAAGTTTACAGACTGGCAGAGACCAGTGACACCTCCACCTTCGACGGGTGTATAAAAACTAGATTTTAATGAACCTTCACACCTCCATCATCATCCATCGTTTTATTAAACAGGATTCTATAGTTAAAGGAGGGAAAATGGCAGTAGCAGTTCGCTGCAACACTTCCAGTGCAGCCCGACGACAAATACGCAAAATAACTAAAGTGAAACGGACCACAACGTAAATGTTAATTAAATTTTAGATCGGAGCTTTTTCATTTCTCTTGTTTTAGAAAAGATTTGATCAAATCTTCATCTTCATCGATATGATCCGAGCAGACTCTCGTCCAAAGCAGATTTTTAAAACCAAAGAATTCAACACTTCATCACGGCTCATTTTATTTTATAAACCTTTACCTTCCTTTCAGTTCTCCGTGTGCACAGGTGTTCTGGCAGGAATACCATACACCAGAAGTGCTACAGTTAGCTGCTACTGCAACCATTTGTTCTTGAAAATAAACAGAATTCCACATAAATAACCACTTAATGTAAATGTGACCACTTTCCTTTAAATAAAGCATACAAGAGCAACAATAAAATGTTTTTGAAACTCGTCTTAAATTAAAAAAAAATAATAAAATGCCTGCAAACCACTTTGATCTTGGCTGCGTTCAGACTAGCCATTAGCTCGTCAGTCAAACCATTTCTTCAAACCGTGGCTGTTCAAAAAAAAAAAAAAACGAAACACTATAAATATATCATTTGAACAACTCTAATTTTTTTAGGCTGCATTAGAAAAGCACGTGTGAGGTTAGTGTAGATTTGTTTTTTGTGACAATTGAGAAATTCTCATTTCTCTGTTCATCACAACTCTTCATGCGTTTCAGCATCTGGATAGACTGGCGGTCCATTGTTCAATACATTTGCCTCTTGGTTTGTCTGTAGATCGTTTATTATCTAATACATTTAATCTGTTGTGAAGACATTTTTTCTACATTTGAATGAGTTTGTGATTCTCAACCCGTCTAGTTAAAAACCCTACAGATGGACATGAACTTACCTGGATGCCAGCCTGGACAGCCATGACAGAGTTCCTGGAAGATTTACTTCATTCTGTGAGAAGATGAGAAACGGATTTAATTAAAAAATAAATAAATAAATAAGCAAACTTCGTTATGCTGCAAATCAGAAAACCTTGAACAAGAAACATTGTAGTTTTGTAGGAGCCATCCTGGAAGATTTTAAGCTGAGGTTCATCATTCCAGGTCAAATTTTTTTTTTTTTTCATTTAGCCTTTATTTATCCAGGTTAGTCTCATTGAGCCACGAGAACTCATTTTCAAGAGAGACCTGTTTAGGGAGCAGATGGTCTTGGTCAAATCTTTTACAAAGAGAAAAAAACCAAGTATAATTCTCAGCAAATCATAAAGACCGGATCAAAAACATGCGAGATGATCATTTGTTTCAAAACAAACTCATTAAAGTACTTGAAAACAGGCAGACAACATTATGCAACCCACTGACGTTTGTTCATTTTAAACAGGCCTCCATGTTTAGTCATTTCCTATTGCACTTTATCTGACATGGAGTTAAAGTTAACCCTGTATTATACACAGTAATTAACCCTGCATTATACAGTTATTAACCCTGTATTATACAGTAACTAACCCTGTATTATACACAGTAATTCCAGGGCTGAAACATTTTATTTCCACCACCATGACATCTGTTAAAGTCATGAAGTCTGTTAAAATATGATTTGAGGTTTAATATGAATTTTTACGTGCATCATCCATTATGATAAAAAACTACTAAAAATGCATCCTTAACTATCAAAAGTCTACCACATAATTTGTAATAAATTAGTAAAATCAGCAGAATCATGTTTTGTTGCCACCAACAGTGTTGATCAGGGATGACATCATGAGAATTGTGGGAAATCCTCCAAGTCCCAGATGTTTGGCAAACAATGCAGCAGACCTCGTTCATAATGGCTACTTCTGTCCATGTCAAGTTAAACATGTTCCCAAGGCCAAACGACTTGATATACATTGAAGGAAACATTAATACACAGCTCAAGTGCTGGCTACAACAGAGGGAGCTAGAAGTGTAGGGCAACCAGGACGAGTTAGTCGAGCTGTACATCGTGTGGAGATCCTGGTGTTTGTGCTGATTTGTGCTCCATTGCCTCGGTGAGAAAGAACAGATGACCAAAGATGTTGTCATGGATGCATGCCACTGATTGGCCATGTACTGTACAGGTTTTTTGGCCTGTTCCCTCAAACAACGTGTTTAACAGATGTATACTCTCGTTTACGTTTGTTGGGTCGAAGCCATCAATCACAAAATAAATCAGTTTTGGAAAAAGGCAAGAACCAAACGCCTTGCATGAGGCTCGTCAGCGTATCGTCCATCACTAGTACAAGTCCTGTAGCAACGATACCATTTTTCTGCTGTCCAATTCTTTTCCCCTTTTAAAAATTGACGAACCACGACGACATCGCTAATTGTACTGTACTGGAAGTTCTTTGTGCCGGACATTCCGGTACTTGCCGACTTCACATACTGCATAGGAAGCCATTTTTAGTAACCCTGACCAGTGCCATTAGTCTGTTGACATTTGGACATAGACAAGTACACTTTGGACCATCTCAGTGCATGACAGATAACAGGTAGGTAAAATAAGCCCCAGATGTAAATAGACTGTACTTGTATAGCATTTTTCTATCTTATCAAGAAACTCAAAGCTCTTTACAACAATCTGTGCCTCATTTACCCGTTCTTAGAGCTCTATACTAGATCTACACACAGTTAATTGAACAAATCATTCTGAAGAGAATAATCAGTAGTGGTGTAACAATACATCTTAAATTAGGGATGCACGATATTATCGGCATGGTATCGGCTGATATTGGCGTTAAAGTTCAATATCGGACATTGTGCATTCCATTAAAATAACTTGCCAGTATAAAAAAGGCACTGGTTTTGCCTGCAGCGGCACAACAATGACGTCACGTGTTCCTACCCGATCTCACGGCAAAGAGGAAAATTCAAAATGTCGGCGGTGTGGAAGTTTTATTTTTCGTTGGTGAGGATATTGAATTCCAAAGATTTATGGGCTACGTCGAGTCTCGCTACATCGTCCCCAGTCAGATATTTTTCTGACGTAACCTTACCAGAGTTACAAGCCGTCATTTCCAACGTCATTGAGAAGCTAATAGCTGATAGCGCGACTTGTTGGGTGAGTTTTACCACAGACATTTGGACATCATGTTAGCCTCGTTAGCATGATTAGTCTTACAGCACAATGGATAGACAAAAACTTTGATCTTAAAAAGTCTGTCCTTCATGCACAGAGTGCAGAGGATCCCACGCTGCAGCTAGGAACCTGGAACAAACCTCCACAAGTGAGACAGCATCGCAGGTGACTAATGCTAATAAATAACATTTAACACTTTTCATGAAATACAAGTCAAAGTGCTATACATATCATATGGCTGTTAGTGAATATATTCAACTTGCTCTTACACAATTTTTGTTGCAAATAAGCCTAAATAAGAGGGCTATGTTCTGACAGTATATAAAATATCAGTATCTGCATCGGTTATCGGCCAAATAAGATTTTATATTTTTATATATATATATATTTATCATTTCATTTATTTTTATTTTTTCCATTAATTAAAAAAAAAAAGTATTTAAATGCCTGGTGCCTGTAATAACAGGAAAAACAATGGTTAAATCATATTTTAATGTTTTTGTCTATATGTAAATGAGATGGGCATTTAATATCGCAATATATCGATCGCAGACTTGTGAATCGAACAGAATCAAAATTGTATCGTGACAGACTTTGTGATAAGAGAATAATTATATCGTCATACAAACAAATCAATATAACATCATGGTAAAGCTGGTGATTTACACCCCTACTAATCAGTGCTTTTCAATCACATTCATACACTGATGGGACACACGGAGGCAATGAGGGGTTCAGTGTCTTGCCCAGCGACACTTCGGCATGTGACTGCTGGTGGATTTGAACCCCCAACTCTTGCATTGGAGGTCGACTGCTTTAACCACTCAGCCACAGCCGCCCTAAGAGTTTGAGGGAGAATTTTCTGAAAAGGCTCAAAGCTGTGAGGATGAGAGTGGACAGAAGTGGAGTCATTCTGGGAGGAAACTGTGATAACGGATAGTAACAGATCCCCAAATCCAGCTGTGCACAAAGTGAGGAACATCTGCCACTTTCTAGCACAATTTTTACACAAACTCTGGAGTACAAGTTAAATCACTAAATCATTTAATGATAGAAAATTGTGTATTTTGACGAGTTTCAATGATTTTATTCCCCCATTTCAGTGACTGGTTTAGATCCATTGAAAACCTTATGTCAAAAAACATTCAGATTTTGAGAGAAGGAACAAACTGTTTTGTTTTGGTTCATTTCAAAAACTTTGAGAAAAATAAATAAATAAAAGCCTTTCCTTTTGGTTCAATGCCGATTATTCTTTCTAACAATCAGACAAAAAAATAAATAAATAAAAAAGCAAAAAACTCCTGACTGGAAATAATTTCCCCGACGGGTGAGACTCTGTATCTTCAGCCTTCAGCTCTGTGGAAACAGTTTCCACACACTCCAGTTCATTAGATTTAAACTGAGTATTTACTGAAAATAAACAAATGTACAGATTTAAAATTAAACACTTTCCTCGCAGCTCCATCCTGGAGCTCCAACAGCTGAGCACAGATCAAGTCACGAGAACTGAACAGGTTCCAGTGCAGAACAAATCCAGATGTTGATTACACAAATTCTTAAACCAATTTCAACCACATGGCTTCTGCCCAAACAAACTTCTCATTCCTGTGCTGCAAAAAGCCTCATCACAACTTTAGAGCTCAGTTACAGTTTAATGACCGTAATCAAGTTGACAAGACGATCTTTTAAATGCTCAGATGAAGAGGAACGATTAGATGAACAGGAGCTGCAGTCAAACATCCGTCCATCAGATTTCAGCTTGTAAAGAAAACTCACAAGAAATGACAGAGCTGTTCTCTCAGCTTCACCCCCAGAGGACGACGGGACTGCCCCGACCCCAACGGTCCCTGAAGGGGTGTGTTTGACAAAGAGGCGGTGAGTGGGGGGAGCGATCACAAGGACGTAGGTCCAAAGAACACCAGTGATTTAGTCAACACAGCTGAGGCAATAGTCCACCACCACCAACCCCCTCCTCATTCATTCTCTCACCCGGACACACACATCGCATCTTATGCAAACAAACTAAACAAGTTCAGACTTGTTCTTTTAGGAAACACTGAAGTTAAAACCCCCCGATGAAGTGCGCTGCGTCCAGATATTCATCACCAGAACAGCAGCCCAGAGGACGGGACGGGACGGACGAACACGAGGCGACTCACCTCCAAACCAAAACACTGAAGGTTCCACGAGAACACGCGATGATCAGCCTCTGAGGAACATCCCGTCCAGACGGAGTCAAAAGTGCTGCGTTCAGTCGGAGCGACTCCTGCCTCTGTGGCTCCACTGGTGAGCGGGAAGGGAAGGCAGCAAGAGAATGAGAGGAGGGAGGGAGGACGGATGGAGGGAGGGAGGGAGGTGCAAAGGGAGAACCCTGACTAATGAAGTGGCTACGCTTCACTAAACCCTGACCATCCCATTGCCCCCCACCCCCCAACAATCCTATCACACTGGGACCGTCTCACAAAGAAACCATTGTTTACTTTGACACACACACACACACACACACACACACACACACACACACACACACCTCCAAACCAGGATGCAATGAAATGGGATAAAAGGTGGCGAGTTACCGTCACTTCCTTTTCATCCCCCATCCTTGAACAAGCCAACCACCGTTCCACAGCACACCTCCAACCCCCCCAAACCCAGTTTGTCAGTCTAGTCCAGGGCTATTCAACTAAACTGCTCAGGGGCCACAGTTACTGAAAGCCAAGAGCTCAGGGGCCGGACATGCAGCAGTTATCGTCATCAAGTTTGTTTTATGGTGTCAAATCTAGTAAAACTGAGTTCATCCGTGGCTTCCAGTTGAACAGTGCTGGTCTAGCATCTCCAGATAGTCAGATGTGGATCTGGAGGAGTGAAGACTCCAAGAACTAAGAGTAAAGGGCAGGACACGTGACTGACTCGGGTGTTTGGTGCAGCTGTTTTAAATCTGCCTTGTTCCAGTGACCACCGTTTCCCTGCTCAAAAAGTCAAACGGACATCCAGAATCCTCTGATCTTCTGAGTTTAAATATGAGAGGACCACTTCAGTCAAGTCCTATGACCTTTAGAGGAACAATCCAGAAGGGATCTGCTTTCTTCCAGCTTGCAGGCATTTGAGGGGGGGTCACACTCAAACACGGCACAAAGAGGCGATCTGTGGCTCTGGACTCCAGTTGTGTGCACACGGAGCATGAGAGCGCCGCTCCCTACGGCCTCCAGAGACGCCCACGTCCAGTCAAATGTCAAACGGAGAGGATGTTTGAGAACCGAAGCCAAGGAAGAGGAGGCAGAGACAAAAAGTTGGTTTCTTTCTGTGGACTTGGAACGGCACCGTGGAAAGGGCAGGGACTGACACGAAGCACCACCACGCACATTCTCCAACGGTCATTTGGAAAGAGGAAAACAAAGTCCAACAAAAGCTGTTTCCATGTTGAGGTCTGCTCCCCATTTGAGCTGGATTACCTCCCATTTGTAGGATTTCCCATGACCACTGCTCCTTCTGTGTAGGGGTCAACACTGAAATTAAGACGAACCAGATAACCAGAGGGGGTTAGACAAAGGTTGGACTCAGACAAAACAACTTTAGACAATTACTCACTGATTAGATTTAAAGAAAAACAGGTCTGGAAGACATCTGTCCAGCTGTAGAATCTCATCACCTTTTCATCACATTCCTACTTTAGTCGACAAATTTCCACCAAAGACAATAAAACCGTTGGAGATCGTTTTCTTTCTGCCGAGGCCAAGAATAAAATAACCAATGCAGTGATCAAACAACTTAGTGGGACACATCTGATCTGAGAGCTTTGACAATGATTCTGGAAAGGACATAACTGATGGCATACATTTATTTATGCAAACAGAAATTTAGATGCGTTTTTAAAAACAGCATTTCCCCAGGCCATTAGAAAAACAAAAATCTGGAGCATTTATAAGCAGAATTTCCATTTGCATGTTACCATGATGTCCTGACCCCTCTTGATTCTTCAGCTTATATTCACCATTTGTTCTCATTGTAATAAAGTTTTTGTTGACCTTCTGGCTTAAGCCAACTCTTAATTACTTCACCGTGGCCAAGCGCCAGTTTAAGGGGTTCAGTGCCATTAGCATTTTAAACAGCTTGAACACAGATTCATCTGCGATGGTTAATTAGTTAATCATTTCACATTAATGGTGATAAAACCCACACAAACGTATTGTGTTACTGTAAAGATGAGAGCTACCTCTGGTATCATCTCTTCCAGAACAACTCCAGTTCATTTTGTAAGAGAAGTGGTGCCAGCAGCCCGGCTGTACACAGACAGCATGGAGAGGTGCAACAAGAGGACATGACTTGTAAACACTGCCAGTGCATTGTAGAGTTCAGTGATCTGTCCATGTCCCCCTCTCACTGAGGGGTTTGAATACTGAATGTTTGTAGATTTCAAGCAGAGTGCTTCTGGACTGGAATTCAACAGAACGTAAACCTTAATGTTTTTGGAGGCTTCAGGTGGGGAGGTTTCACAGTGTGGAAGTACGGTAGTTTTGTTTTGTCTGAGGCAAAGCAGAGAGAGATGCTGGCGAGTGGAGAAATAGGTTCATTTTCCCCACTTCCAGGTACAAGGGTGGAGCCAAGGGGTGGCCAGAGGTGGACTTGGCCCTCTACAGATTAATCTTCAAACCACCCCAATCATTAAGAGGAAAACTATACTTTTAAGAGATTAAAAACTTGAAAACCGTTTCCTCAAATTATTGGGGTGGTCAGTTTACATATTTATGGTGGCAGCCATTTTGAATTTTGACATGGCAACCCATTTTTCAAAAAAGGAACACATTTTTACATCTAGATGTAGCCACACAAAAATTTAAATTGGTACATCACTTTCCATCCATCCATCCATCATCTTTACCCAATTCTTCCCTTTTGGGTCACGGGGGTAGCTGGTGCCCATATCCAGGCATCACTGCGAGAGAGGCGGAGGACACCCTGGACAGGTCTCCAGTCCATCACAGGGACACCAAGAAACAAACAGTCACCCTCTCACACCTAGAGACAATTTAGAGTTATTAATCAGTCTAACATGCATGTTTTTGGTCTGTGGGAGGAAACCGGAGCACCCGGAGAAAACCCACGCATGCACGGAGAGAACATGCAAACTCCACCCAGAAAGGTCCCAGACTGGGATTTGAACTGGCAATCTGCTCGCTGAGAGGCGGCAGATCTACCATCTGTGCCACTGACCAGGTACTTCACTTTAAATGTTTTTTGTTTTTTAAGTTCTCCAGCTCACAACATGCACAGATGGACAAAAGAACCGCATTTTCAATTCCTCCTTTTCGTTATGCGGCGGGAGACGACTAAAGGCCAGAAAACCATTTCAACACCTTCGTCCATTCTTCAACCGTATGTTTTTGTTTTCCTCTACAAGGTTCCATCATCTAGTGAACGCACAGATTTTCCTTTCTAAATAGAACCAATCATGTTTTTTTTGTGTGTGTTCATTGAAGTAATGGGCCAAATTACAAATCACCCCACACATCCAGTCAAACCAGGATTACCTGAATAAATAAGCCACAGAAAGACCAGAGTCAGGTTTGGGTTGGAAAACTTGCTTTTCAAGTAAACTGCTCAATTTAGGTTTACTCACTCAGCAGAAACTACCATTTCCAAACTGAATGAATTCTTCTTACACCCTTTTAAATATCACCCAACTTTTGTTCTAAACTTTAACAATTAAATGTTTTTAAATCTGAAACTAGATGGGACAAGTTTCTCCATGGGTAGGCCAAGTTCGTTTGCAGAGTACTTGACACAAACAGAATGGTGCAGAATAAATTAAGAGTTGTATCTTTGTCCCGTTACAAAACGAGCAGCATAATGATGACATTTCTAAAAAAAGGGGGAGGCTCGAGTAAAGTTCCCTTTAGCATGACCTAAACACAGACGTCCATGTTTTGGTGAGACATCTGTCGGTGTTCCCCACAGGTCGTCTCATTCTCTGGTCGCAGCCAATAATCATTTAAGAGGATCAGGGCTATTCCAGACAGCAGAGCACACATCCACGATGCTCCGTCACCAAAACACACAGCACGTGGAGCACACATGTCGCCTGCAGCGCTCCGCCGGTGCATGTGAGCACTCGTGCGTTAACACGTTACGCAACGAGTTAAAAAGGGGACGGTTCAGGCGGTGATGTCATTCTGATTTTCTACTATGTGGTAATGTGTCAGAGTGAAAACACATTTAAAAAATGAGTAAAGTGAAAGCAGCCACGTGAATTTTTTCATGTTTTTATTCCATCAGTAAACAATTACTTAATCAGATGCAGATGGTGTGCCTCCATTTCTGTATCTCTCCACCTTATTTGTGCACTTTGTTCCCGTGAGCCTGAACACTATGACATAAGGTGCCTTGGGAGCACTGCTCCTTATAAAATATATTTCAGTTAGTTTGCCTTTTGTTTCCACACTAGCAGTACAGCAGCCATTTATACATATACGTACATTTAATGAGTCTTTCAGCTCCTTCAGAACAGACGTTTTTAAGCTCATTAGGGACTCTGGTAAAGTGAGAGGATGTGATTGGTCTACACATACGAGCAACATGAATGGTCTTCCTTACATATACCGATTAAACTGACATTGACTAAGCTACTTTTGTTCTTTACGATGTTCTGTTCCTTGAACGTGTGCAGCTCAAAAAAGACCGATCTGTCATTTGAGTGTTGACCATCAACTCCTTAATGTTTGTAGCTCTCGTTAAAAATTAAACCAAAGACCCAAAACACACAGCTCCAACCATGGAGTCAACTTAAAACACAAGGGACATGACGGTACAGACGGTCAGACGATGGATTCACTAGGTTCAAGTCTGAGAACGTAAACGTATACGTTTCTTATAACTGTTCAATCTCTCCTTTTAACTCGGTCCTTAGAGTTTGCTCCAAAAACCTTTACAAGTAGACCCTCGCTACTCAAGGGGGGGGGGGGGGGAACAGGACATGAGATTGTCAACTTTAACATTAATCACATGATTGGGACAGTATGCAATACTGTACAGTAAAATGTTAATGGTAAGAAAGATACTATAGACAGGCACCGCCATTTTGTAGTTTTTTCTCTCAATAAGCCTACACCGTCATAATGACCACATTTCCCAGAAGCCAACAGTGCCCCGACCAGAAGCCCCGTTGCCTTCTGCTGAAATACAGAGGGAAAGTTTTGATTGGAAAAATTTTGGCCCTTATTCATAGTGACTTTGGCGCCCATCAGATCCAGAGAGCCACATGGAACCCACTGGG